TCTGCTGGTGCCTCTTCTCTTAGAAACCAGTTGGATAAACAGAGCAAATTGCAAGCTAGATCACCAGATCTCGTTGACTTTCAACTGGAATTTGATCCCAAACTGCCAACTTCTATTACCAACCAATGACAGTTGGGCGCTGAACTGCCAGGAGCTCCTTTGAAAGACTCCCCTATGTAGGATTTAAATATGCTGGGAATGTATCCGCAGAGGTTTTCATTTACAAAAGAAATTCAAAACTAATGTTCTGGTTGTACACGTCTCTGCAAAACCCAGCCATCAAAACACAGTCTGAAAACATTTCACTGCTATTAAGTCAAATTCTCAGCATATATGTTTTTAAAGTAAGCGAGTTGAGGACAATGGGGTAATCTGTCACCAGACTGGGAAACACTTCATTGCAACAACAACAACAACAATAAAAAAGTGGTAATATCAAAAATACGGTTCAGGTGGATAGTATTCATTCTTCTACAAAGTGATTTTAGAAGGTAAAATAAGTTTTATTACAACTGTAGATTCATGCCATTATCCTGGAAACATGCATGTGAGTGGTCCTCTTGGCCCTCTTTCTAGGACAATGGCTCTTAATATCCGGGTCGTTAACAAGTGTTGGGTTTTGAGAACACTGCCTTTCCCCTAGTGTTGCAAGGAGGGTGTTATGGGTAAATGGATGGAGAGCCTCTAATCTTTTCCATCCATGTGAGGATTTTTTCCATTCATGTGTGAAAAGAATTTTGTTATGTGCAGAGATGCACCACCACTAGAAACACAAAACCTTAGCTGTGGACATTCTGCTAATCAGCTGGGCAGAATTTTGAGTTTCTCCTGCAAAAGTGCACAGCTTACATTGAACACGGATGGAAAACTGTGAGCGAGGGATATCCTGTTATGGAAAAGTTTGGCAACTACTGTGAAAATGATGTGTGGGAAGTTTGCCCTTTAACCTTTATGAATCCAAAGGGCCAGCTCATGTGTGTAGTTATTCACATTGGCAAGTGGTTGAAGGATGGAGGTCATAAATAGAGAGCATTAGACGAATCTTGCCACGACAATGTACATTTCAACTTTGAAGGTACACACACACCCACACACGTGTGTGCACATGTGTACACACACACACACAGAGCAAAAAATGTGGGAGTGAAATCCTGCCCCTATTATAGGCAGTGGCAAAACTCCATTGATTCAATAGGGCCAGGATTGCATCGTGAGTGCTGACATTGCAATAATTAAAGTGGACACTTCCACCAAATTAGCTAATGAATGAACATGCTGTTTCTCAGTTAGCTCTGTGTGTGTGCATGTGTGTGTTTAATTACCACAGATTCCAATCACCACAAAAAAAAAAGAAAACAGCAGCTCTTTCAGGATCTGCTCCAAAGCCCACTGAAGCGCTGAGAAGAGACTGCCACTGCAGCCCTTGGCAACGCTCAGAAATTCCTCGAACCCCATGCTCATAATGTTGTGATCTTCAAATCACCCTCCCCACCTGATTTCATACTTTAACTCATGTTCAAAAGATCAGTGAACAGAACTGAAGGTTAAATGGATTTTAGGAAAAAAATGTGTAAACAAAGCCCCCTTCCCCACAGGATTTCTTATTCACCCCTTGCTGCATAGAAGTTAATATATGCATTAGTCTGAAGACACAAATCTTTCCGAGTTCCGGATCATCCTGTAGACTCAGTAGGTAGAGGATATGCCCTGGTAGATACCCATGCAGTTTTGTTCACTCCTATACATTGATAGCTCACATCCTTGTGCCTGACATTTTCACTTAGGCATCGCCTTCTAAGTTGTAAAAAATAGAATAAAAAATGTCCTGTGAATTTTGGATTTTTTTAAAAAAAGGTAAAAGTTACCTTTAAAAACTATGTTGTTTCCCCCCATGTCAGGTAGAAGATAGGAGACGTCATTATTAGTTTAGAATACAAAATGATACCATGTAGAGACTAAGCTTTGGTTAATTGTTTTTTTCCTATAAAAAGTTTAATTTCGGGATTTTCCTCTTTAAAAAAATTACATCTGTTGCACATATATAAAAGGCACATATAAACCACTGAAAGAAAAAAAAAGTCCATTTCACTTCCTTAAATGGATTCACTAAAAATTAGCATTCAGAGTACCTATATATATATATATATATTTTAAAGAAACCCAAACAAACTAGTGGCTAAGAAGGCCATTTTTGCTGGCATTTTCAATCAATCAATCAATCTCATTTTGTTTTTCTCCATCTCATTATGGCTATGTAGGATGCTGTGCTAAAAATGCAGTTATTGGAGATGAAGGATTTGATCCAGAATTTCTCAGTGCGGATTGGTACACTCAAAAGTAGCCACTACTCCTTGCAAATCAGGTACATCACCTTTGTTCAGAATACAAAAGGGAACCAGAAATGATACACTGAACAGAAGAGATGGTTTAAAGAAAGGATGAACAGCAGAATAAGTGAATATGTTCTTTTGAGGTAATCCTTACTACAGTGTTCAGAGCCAGCCGTGTTGGTGTGGCATATAGGAAGCAGTATTCACTTCTCCTTTCTCTTCAGAGAATTCCTATGCAAGGAAAGCACACACATACACACACAGTATATCCTAGAAAGTGATACCCTAGAGTTTACCCTAATACCAAGAGGCAGATCTCGCCAAGTATTTCAAGATTTAACAATTCCATACATCCCCTGTGATTTGTTCCCCATAATTGATCCTTAGATCCATCAAGTCTCTATTCTCAAATAAGGAATTCAAATTCCGTATGGAACCAACATTGCATGTGAATTTCATTCAAGAAGCATCACAGCAATGAAACACACTTCCTCCGCTGCACAGTCCGATATTGAAATAAGGTCAGTGCCCAAGATCATCTTCCATAAGCCGCTTTAAAGACTTCAGTCACTGCCCCCTGCTGGAAATTGCAGCCACAAATCCCTGCCAGTGGTAAGGGTCATCTGCCCTTGAAAAAATGTATTTTGTCAATGGAGGCAAGAGTCAAAGTGATATTGGACTCAAAATCCCCATCATGGACCTTGGTTTGCCGAAAGGCCCCTGCAGAAGGATTGTTTTCCCAGTAATGATGCCAGTTGCCATTACTGTCTGCTCCAAAACCATACACATCCACCTAAGAAGGGAGAAAATGAAAAACATTACATCCTCAAAGACTTAGCCTTCTGCCATTTTGAGGAAACTCTGGTGGTTCTCAACCTTTTCTGCACTGTTCTCTCATTTATTATTGATGTTGTGATAGCTCCTAGGCACATCAGTCTTGTGTTAGGTACTGTATAAACAGAAAAAGACACAGTCCTGCCCTGAAGAGTTTTCAATCCAAGGAAATCATGCTGGAATCTCATTTTCCATACTGAGACCCTTCCTGAATCCCCTCCCAATGTCACCAAGACATCTCTCCAACTTAGCTTCATGTAAAGAACTGAATGGTCAGGACAGCCCAAACCAGTTAACAAAAACAAACAAAACAAAACAAAAACACAACAAAAAACACCAACCAACCAACCAACCAACCAACCAGACAGGATTGGGGAATAAGACAGAGAATATGTTATTGCTTCTATATAAAACCATGGTATGCCCACATCTTCAATACTGCTTACACATGTGGTTTCCTCATCTCAAAAAAGATATATTGGCATTGGAAAAGGTTCAGAAAAGGGCAACTAAAATGATTAGGGATTTAGAATGGGTCCCATATGAAGAGAGATTAAAAAGACTGGGACTTTTCATCTTAGGAAAAAAAGGGGGGGATATGACAGAGGTCTATAAAATCAGTGAATAAGGAAAAGTTATTTACTTTTTCCCCATAACACAAGAACTAGGGGGTCACTAAATGAAATTAATAGACAGCAGGTTTAAAACAAACAAAAGGAAGTTTTTCTTCACACAGCGCACAGTCAACTTGTAGAACTTCTTGACAGAGGATGTAGTGAAGACTAGGACTTTAACAGGCTTCAAAAAAGAACTCATGGAGTAAATTCATGGAGGTTGGGTCCATCAATGGCTATTAGCCAGGATGGGCAGAAATGGTGTCCCTAGCTCTGTTTGTCAAGGGCTGGAAATGGATGACAAGAGAGGCATTACATGATGATTCCCTGTTCTGTTCACTCCCTCTCGGGCATCTAGCAGACAGGATGCTGGGCTGGATGGATCTTTGGTCTGACCCAGCATGGCCGTTCTTATGTTCAGTTTTCATGAGCTGAAGGTGGAGAATCCCATCTCTACTGAATGAAGACCTCAGAGTCAGGAGACATTCTTGCCCCTTCTCTGCCATGTTTGACTGGGTTTTTCCAAATGACAATTCTTGTCTTGTCACATTTAGACGACTGTCCACCCAGTGCTGCAGCTGCACTGATACCCAAAGGCACACTTCCACAGTGGGTCAAATCCCACCATTCCTACACAGTCCTTGGTTAGGTATTGATGTCAGAGGGAGTTAAACTGAGGGTACATCTACACAGCAGCTTTATTTCTGAGTAACTGATGTTATTCAGAAATAACAAAGAGCTTGTCTACACTACAAGCCACTATTCTGAAATAACGGTGAGCTGGAGGACTTCTTGCTCTGACCCCTGTAACCCTCATTGTATGAGGAGTAAGGGAAGTCGGAAGAAGAACGTTCCAGCCTCGGGGTTGCTCTAACTTACATCATGTGGTAACAGTCTCCTCACTATCATTACCCAGCTGGAGATTACTGGAGCACAATGTAATCTGGCCCTACCTCCAGCGCTTAATTTGTAATAAAAGAGGTTCTGGGGTTCAAGCAATGAGGTGCTGAGATCAAGCTATTTTTTACAGTCAGAACTGATGCAGCAAACATATAGGAGGTGGGGGAACTGCCAAACATAGAGGTGCTGGGACTCAGCCCTGGCACTAGAGGTGATGCGTAGGGGAGAACATGGCAGGATGAAGTGCCTTCCCCCCCTAGATTGGCCTGCCAGGGCAGGGAGGAAGGAAAGAGAAAGGGATTGTGTCCTTCTTTCCCTGCCCTTTCCCTAGGGCAGGTTTGGCTGCTTTTCCTGGTAATTGGATGGGGAGCTGGATGGAGCCTCTTCTGTCTAAGAGAGCCTCGCTGGACTGAGCTGTCAGGTGGCGGGGAAGGGGGACGGGAGGAGGAAGGGAAAG